GGGTCTCCCCTGAGCCGCAGCGCTCCTGCACGGGCCCGAGGGATGCAGCGGCGGAGCTCTCCTGCCTCCCCTGAGCCGCAGCGCTCCTGCACGGGCCTGGGGGACACAACGGCGGGGCTCTCCTGCACGGGCCCGGGGGACGTGGCGTTGGGGCTCTCCTGCCTCCCCCAAGCCACAGTGCTCCTGTGCGGGTGATGTGGCAGTGGGGCTCTCAAGCCTCCCCTGAGCTGCAGTGCTTCTGTGCGGGCCCAGGGGATGTGGCGGGGGGACTCTCCTGCCTCCCCCGAGCCGCAGCGCTCCTGCGCGGGCTCGGTGGACGCAGTGGCGGGGCTCTCGGGCCTCCCCCAAGCTGCAGCGCTCCTTTTGGCACCGGTCCTTTTGGCACAGGGAGCTAGGGGCGGGGCTTGCCGCCGCCACCATTTGCGCGGACTCCTGGGCTACCGGAGCAGTGCTCCGGCATGCTCTGGCCACAAAAGACCCCTGCACACACACCCTTCTGTTTATTATGAACAAGGGGAAATCACAGTTTAGTCACTCATGAACTCCACAACCAATGTTCCCTCTAAGCTGTGGGGTCTTTTGAGCAAAAATTCTACTTTGTGAGCTACTGGCATTAAAGTTATGAGCAAAAGATTTGGCTGCTGGATAAACTAGTTTACTCTGGAGCCATCCTTCCTGAGCCAAGACAAAAATGTGTGAGCCAGAGGCTCAAAAACTGTGAGCTAGCTCACACTAACTCAGCTTAGAGGGAACACTGTCCACAACAATATCCCACCCTCTACCCATTGGCCTTCTTGATAAGCAGCAGTTGGCATCCTGTGGATGTCTCATCTAGTCCATGGCGACTTGGCCAGTGGCTCTAAGGAGGCCCCAGTAAACATTACAACACATTCAAATAATTATAAAGGGCTCTGTACTTGCCCAGGACTATCACAGTGATGACCAGGAAGATATTCGCAGCCCATCCAATCAACAGAGCAATCTGTTGGCAACGTGGACATCGGGAAGCATCTGTAGAGATTAAAAGACAATAAATACAGTATATAAATATTGCCTTTGCCTTTCCGCATGTGTTCTGCATGAGTCCATCAAAATCTTAACAAGAATACGCCAACAGATATGGAAAAGAATATAATGGCCCACAGACTGGAAATGCTCCACTTTTGGTTGAGAATATAATGGCCCACAGACTGGAAATGCTCCACTTTTGGTTGACACATGGACACACTGTAAATAGAGCAACAGAATGGTTGTGGGTGTGGGTTCCTCAATATATGGAGGCCTGATTGACATAAAAACTTTATAACTCTTATTTGTTTTTGTTTTTTTAAGTATTTTATTTTCAGATTTTATCCAAAAGTATATATACAAACAAATTTTTCCATTACATACATTTAGGGGGTTAACCACACAAGTTAATTTCATACCAATTAATGGCTTTTTGCCATTTCTGATTAAATTGCTCACTTGTTTTCCCCGCTAGTCTCCTCAGTTCCTTTAGGGTAGGCAATAGGGGTATGGGGAGCTGGTAATACACCAACCCAGGCAAGTAAATAAGCCACCTAAAAGGAAGACAACATTATGGATCCAAGCAGATGAGAATCTGTGCAGTCAGTAAAGGGATAACTCAGGGCACAAACAGGTCTAAGGCTGTTAAGCTTCCATTTCCCCATGCCTTGTAAATAATTGGATGGAATAAGCAAATTGTACATTTTTCTGTATGGAGAAAACTGACACTTAAAAAATTAAAATCAAAAATTCAGAGAAGGGTCCTAGCATTCTTGAGTTGGTTAGATCTCCTGAGGCCCATTCAAGCTATAAACCAGGGTTTAAGGCCATCAGTCTTGGACTGTGGAAATTCAACAAAGCATCCCAAAATTACCTGAAGGAGAAGTGGCACAATCCCCTCTATCTCAGGTTTCCAGATGCAAAGTGGTTTGCTAACTTTCTACAACCAGAAGAAGAGAAACCCACTACAGTACTGAACAACTAAGGGAATGGGCTGGCAGGGAATACTGCAAGGCTGCCAGGGTCAAACCAGCATCCAATTTGTTGATCCTCTTGACTGTTCAGTTGTGAAAATTAAGAACGTGCTTTCATTACCCTTTTATACTATGTCTGGTTTTGCCCACTGGTAATACCTGAGTTGGCATCCTAGGTCCAAAGCCTCAGCTGTGGCAACCATAGCTGACTATGATGGGTATGGCCTTTCCTACTCCCAAACAGTGCTGCTTCAAAGGGGGGAAAAGGTGGACGTGGATATCTCAATATCTCAATATCAATAAACACTCAAATAAACTTGTGTAAGTTGTTAGCCAAATTGCCTCAAATTATGGGGAATTATGATCTTACAAAAGGCAATGGGCAAATAAGGGAGCAAGCATCTATGTATACAGGAGTTCCGCTTCTTCCAGACACACTAAAAACAGACGCTGAGACTGACGTCAGTAAAAGATAGTTTTGTTTACTGAAGGTATTTCAAACATACAATAACACAAGTGCACACACAATTATACAGCATCTAGGAAATATAGATAGAAGAGGATAGCACATTCGCATTAGCAGGATGTTCTGTTGATGGGCAATACTTTACCTGTCCACAGTTAGATGGAGCAAACCTCAGAAAAAGGAGGGGGACTATGGGGCATTGGGGAAGGGTCATATCCTGAACCGGCAGGGGCACAAGAGGACTCTGGCTGTGCATCCAGGAATCAGAAACTTAGGATAGGAGGGAGGTCAAGGGGGAGAGAAATCAACAGAGTGAGCTGGTGCTGGGTGCCCTCTTTTATAAGGATCTCGAGGGGTGGGCTATGCTTGGCCACCTCTCTTGGCACATCTCCTGCTGGTCTGTCCCCAAAAATAAACTGACTGGCACTGGGGTCGAAGGTCTAAGGGGGTGGACAGTGTTGGACCTAATGAAAAACTAGTCTGGCACCTGATGGGATTATGACTCATGCGGCTAGAGCCATTGTTCCCTTGTTGTCTTATGGCTGTAGTTTTGACTAGGTGATGTATTAGGTGGGAGAAGAGAATGTTGCCTACGTGCAAGGAAGAGGATTCTTCATGGAATTTGAGTCCCCTGTCTTCTGCCCTGGCATGGCAACTGCCTGGCTTTTCAGTGATATACATGGCTAGGGAACTGGTCCATCTTACTGCAGGTAAGAGGGTTGGTAACATACAGGAACCATAGGCACATCATCTCACAGGAAGGCTTCCTTCTTCTGGGCGTGTGTCTATCACTTGGAGTCACCTTACAGTTCAGTCCCTTTTGCACATAACTAGCAAAGTTCAGGAGTTTATCACTTATGAGTTCATAAGAGCGCCATAAGAGCCTTATAGGGCAACAAAGTAAACAGGCAATATTGTTCAGTGACCTCAAAGACACTCCTTCAGATATTTAAAGCTGTAGGATAACAATCACATCACTCATAACTATTTACTTATATAATTTCTGTACCTTAGAGAATGAGAAACAGAGCAGTTTATGCCATTCCCAAAATGTCCCATTTTGATCAAAGTAGATTATCTCGATTCCTCTTTTAAAAATGAGCAATCAGCAGTGCTCTTAACACTATATAAATTTGTGTAGAACTTTTCCACTATTTCTTTCAGTTTCTCATTCATATGTTCTAAATTCCCGTTTTCATTTTTTAATGCAGAAATAGTTCTTTTCTCTTTTTCCTTTCTTAGTCTGTAAGCTAGCCATCTCGTTGGTTTGTTTGCTGTTTCAAAATAGTATGCCTTTGCATATTCTATTTTCTTTGCTATCTCTTGCGTCAGCAACATATTCACTTGGTGTTGGATTAATTTTATTCTTATTCTTATATCTTCTAAATTTCCATCTTTTTAAAGCTTCCCTTCTTCTATTTTTAAGCGCTCTGTTAACTTTTTATATTTTTCATGTTTCTGTTTTCTCTTCCAAATATCCTGGGTTGTAAACAGCCCTCTCAGATAAGCTTTTAGTGTGTCCCAGACTGTATTCAAGGTTACATCTTCTGTTCTATTTATTTTAATGAACTCTTTAACTTCTTTTTTAAGTTTCCCCAAAAAAGTTCTATCTTGTAGTAACCCCACATTCAATCTCCATCTTGTGTTTTTAACCTCAGTTTGAAGCGCCAACCACATTGGATTGTGATCAGCGAAGGTATTTGGTAGTATTTCCACTTCAATTAGATCTCTTGCCTGTTCTAAATTTAACCACATCATGTCTATGCGTGACCATGATTTAAATCTTGATGAGAAGAATGTGTAATCCTTTTTCTGCGGGTTCCTTGTTCTCCAGATATCTATCAGGTTCAGTTCTTCCGCCATTTGGAGAAAAGCCTTTGGAAGCTACACTATTCCATTGGCTCCTACACAACCTGCATGGCCGCGAACAGAAATGTCATATTAACATTTCTAGTGTGTGTTGTTATTATTTAGACCACTGGAAAAGGCCCTCTGAGCTGAAATGCGTTTGGTCTAGTGGTTATTGTATGTGCAACTTACATTTGTTGCTGTATGCTATGTGGATGTAATATGATGCCCACTACCTCTTTATTTTATTTACATTCTACGTATGTTGTTTTTAATCTATAGTTACTGTGCACTTTGTAATAAATAGATGCATTTTGCTCTATGTTTTAGCTGCTCAACCTTCTAGGTTCCTGGAAATGCTCAATTTACATTCTAGTTCTGAAAAAAAGAAATGTCAAAGACTGCAGCAACTATCAGATGATTGCAAGTAAACTATTGGATGATTTCTCATGCAAATAAAGTGATGCTCAAAATCTTGCAACAAGGAATGTTACCATATATGGAAAAGGAAATGCCAGATATTTAAGCTGGATTCAGAAAAGGAAGTGGCACTAGAGATCATATTGCAAATTTACATTGCTTACTGGAGCATACAAGAGAATTTCAGAAGTAAATCATCTTGCATTTCATAGATTCCCATTTTTGATGAGGTCTAGCTGACTCCTGCTGACTTGCTTAAGAGCCTAGGGACGTTGCTTTAAACAGATGTGTTTACTTATGCTGCCCCACCCCTCATTCTACAGTCCCAGTCCAACTGCATTACTTTGTTTTACTAGGAATCTTTGCTGTTAAATGCAAGTATTGTATTTTGTAATATTCTTACTGATTCACTGAGGTTATCATATTTTGCAATCCACTTACTAATTGACTGAAAAGAGATGTGGCTGAATTTGAGCAGCTGATTATAAATTACAAAAGAGCATTTACTACAAAGGTTATATAAAATTTTACTCCAACTAGAAACAGGAGATGAACAAGTGAAAAAATTATGATTAAGTGGATTAAGTGGATGCAAAACCTTAAAGAACAGATATCTTTACAACAGTGGGAACAACTATGGGAAAAAGATATCAGATTTACAGTCAGCCACACACTAAGAGAAAATTGGTACAAAATGCTTTCCC